TCCCAGAGCTGTTCTGGCAGTTCTACAACCTTGGCTTGAATGAAAAACTCCAAAGTGCAGTGAAATAAAAGAACCCTGCATAAAAATAATTCATGGCAAAGGCCTGTCATTATTATTTTTGTGTGTGTGAAAATAGAATAGAAAACATCATCACCTCTCCTGTACTCTGAAAAACAAGCTTGTTTGGAAGAGTAGCCATTCCTTTTCCCTAATGAATGCAAAATGATATAAAAAACAAACAAACAATATATCCGTGTAAATAGATTTCAGGAAAATAGTGTGTCTGAATTCAATCTTTTGGATCCCAATGGCATCCCAAATTCTATTAACTGTCAGCTTCTCTCTTTACAGAATTAATAAAGAGATTATTCTTTATGCAAAATTGAACAGTGAGGAAGGAAAATGCAAAAGCTGATGTATTGTTCAAATTAATTTCCCTCACCTGGTGGACAGAGAAAGAATTGTGTGTGCATGTCAGTCTCTGCTTTGTAGTTTGAGGAAGATAATCATTCCTAATTCATGAGTAAACGCTTCACAAGTATTCCTGCATTCCATTCTTCAGCTTATGAGTGTAGCAGAGGGAAGGGGTTTACTGCAATACAGAGCAGTCATTCTGAGGAACATTTGCCTAATGTTTCAGTCTCTGGTATATTTTCAATAAAAACCCCTCCCTTTCCACAAAATACTGCCCAGTTTCTCTAACTCAGTCCCCAGACCAACTTACACTGTATTTGACTTTCACTTCATGACATGCAATTGAATTACATGTAAACTGGATCATAGACCCAAAGTCCATGCGATTGATCAAATTAGGATCTATTCACCAGAAAGATTTCTGCTAAATGATCCTTTAAGAGAAACTAACTAAATGTAATACCACATTATTTGGTTAATATTATTCAAGTTTGATGTTCTAAAAAGCATATCCCTTAAGAAGTCATTGAAAGGCTAACTGTGGCCTTTGTGCAGAAGTGGTATTCAGCAGGTTCTGACCAGTTCTGGAGAACCAGTAGCGGAAATTTTGAGTAGTTCGGAGAACCGGCAAATATCACCTCTGACTGGAGATTTTACAGTATCCTTCCTCTGCCACGCCCACCAAGCCACACCCACATAACCGGTAGTAAAAAAATTTGAATCCCACCACTGCCTTTGTGGCACAAAGTATTGCGCCACTTTGACCCTATAATTGTCTCTTGGCAAAAAGAATGATTCTTTTCTGGAAAAAGTAATGGAAAATAATGGGAAGGGGTCATGTACTATATTCATATTTCTTGGATAAAGTTCATACGGTGAAGTCCATATAAACCCAGCATCAGAGAGACATAGATATGAGTCTACTATCTATCACAGGAACTCACTATTTTATAGAAGTCATACTCTCTTCCTCTCCAACTTGCCAAATTGGACAGTTGTGCAAAAATTGCAAGAAAGAGTGCCATGTATGTCTTTTTGAGCTGCTTATGGAGTATAAATCTTACAAATAAACAGAGGAGAAAGAAACTGAGCTTTTGGAAGATCTAAGGTCAGAACTGGGAAACAGCATTATGATAGAAGAGGGTATGCTGATGGAGGCTGTGGTTATTAAACTGGAAGAGAACTTGAGAGATGAACATGGTAAGAGTCAATGAAACTAAAATCGGTTCCTACTGAAGCAAATCCAGATTTTAGCAAAATATGAGTTTCCTCAAAAGGCTCATGTTTTTTCCATGAGTGAAAACTACAAAGAATATGATGTTTATCTATGTATGCTTTTGTGTTTTATGTTTGGTTTTTTTGTTTTTAATCCATGCTCCTCTGTTTATGCTTTTCTGCATGTATGCAGATGTCACAGTAAATTCATTTATAAAGGCTAGATATATTTGTTTATTAACAAAACAATTCAGAATGCTTCTCCTGCACTAGCAAACTTCAAGCAATTTAGGAAGAAAAGAAATCTAGATGAGTGAATAGAATTCTTCCTAACATTGGGCCTTGTCTTTAAACAAAAGCTTGCACATCCTATCTGTATAACAATGGTTTCATCGTTATTTCCTAGATTCAATTTTCTAGTTAGACTAGAATATTGAATTCACCAAATTGGAATTTGAGAAGTAGTTTCATTCAAAGAAAGCATTGGCAATTCTCTTTTGAATATGACATAAAACTTCTTATTTCAAAATAATTTGAAATGGTTTCATCTTTTAAGCAGGTGAGTAGGTAGGTTAAGTAAATTATGCACCAGTATGATTTATGAGAATGAATGTGAATGGTACTTCATCTGTAGGAAATGGATTAACAATTTAAGCCTTAGCACTAAAACAGAAACATTTTTCATGAGTGAAGGTAAACAGTGTCCCAGGGAAAGTTGTAGGATCCAATCTGAGTTGGTCACCAGGATCAAAGATGTATTCTTCCAAGTTTTCAGGCTCATTCTGGAACCCATCCTCAGGTAACTTCTCTCTAGAATATGTGCATTGGCCTGTTCTACATGTTGTATAAATATGGTTCCTTTTTACTAGTTAATTGGTGTGATGATAGCAATAGCACTCAGCAATAGTACTTTGACTATTATGTATACGTTTATGTATACATAAACTGAGGGCTTTCCAGCCCTCTCTAAGCAGTTTACAGAGTCAGGTTATTGCCCCCAACAATTTGGATCCTCATTTTACGCACCTCGGAAGGATGGAAGGCTGAGTCAACCTTGAGCCTGGTGAGATTTGAACTGCCAAATTGCAGGCAGCCAGCAATCAGCAGAAGTACCTGCAGTACTGCATTCTAACCACTGTGCCACCATGGCTCATTCACTGTGATGGCTGGCTATTAAGTCATTAATTGTAATTTTCTTGTGCTACTGAAAATTACAATTAAAAACTTGATAGCCAGCCATCAGTACCCCAAATAACAAGTAAAAGCTACACAGACACCAGGAACCATATGAATATAATGCGTAGAACAGCCCAGTGGAAACAGAGAAGTTTCTTGAAGGTGGGTTCCAGCATGACCCTGAGAGCTTGGAAGAATAAACTTTTGGTCTCAGTAACTGACTCAGATTGGATCCAGAAACTTTTTTTTAACTTTACAAATTTATTGGTTTTTTATATGAAAACCCAGTCTTTTCACAAAAATTTACTTCTATGATAGATTGCAAATTTCCAGTGCAATCCTGTGTGTGGTTACTTAAAATTACTTCCATTGTATTCAGTGTTTCATATTACTAAGTGATTATCTTAAGAATTGAAGTTTTATTCATGTTTTGCTTAAGTATAATTGATTTCACTTGGTTCCCTTCTTCAATCCTTGGGGATTTACTTAAATGATTTCCCAAATTTTAATCTGTACCATGCAGCTTTATGCTCTTGTTAGATTTACAATACAAAGAAAACACAACTAATTGTAGTGAATGATTTAAAACAAATATACTTCTCAGAGTGTTGGCTTCACACATGACAAATATTACATATGTGCATAAATTCCCACATGCAGATCATGTTTTACATATTTGCAGATCACTGCATGCAAGTTTGTATATAAGTTTGCCATAAATAGTGAAATAAATGCAAGATTTGTTTAATTTTCTACACAGAATGGGTTTTCACATGGGACTTTTATAATGTGTAAAAAGTAGTCATTTTTCACAAAGCATTCAAAAAAATCCCTCAATCCCTCAAAGTTGAAATCATTGTGAAATTATCAAAAGAATGCAAAATTCAATTTTCTCTATGATTAGGTTATAAGTTCAGAGGTTTATGTTAACATGACCTTATTTTAAAAACAAAACAACTTAACTTATATTAGTCTGTATGAAATTTCTGAAATGCACAGCCATAGGAATGAAGAATGTGAACAAACTTCTGACCTCGTCAATCAGATAAGATTATATGAAATCATAGAACTGGAGGTTTAACATGGATAAGGAATCTGGTTGTTTTTACGAAAAGAATGCATGGTCAGAATTTTGAGAGAAGAGAAGAGACAGACACTGAACTGTAGGGTCCTATAAAAATATGAACTATTTTCCAGGGTCTATGGAAGTGGGCCCTTCCCATAAATTCTGTACGTTCTGTAAAAAAAAAAATCCCATTAAATAAAAAAAAAAAAATTAGTCATCTTTCAGAGGTTCAGATCACAAAAGTGTAATACTCAGCAAAATGTAATGGTTTTTGGCAGCACACTAAATGCCAAAAGAAAGATCCAGGAAGACCAGTTAATTGTTGAAAGAAAAGAAAAAGGAACTCTCAATTCACCTCTTTCTTGATGTTTTCTCTAATGCTAAGTAGATGAGAAATTACTGAGAGTCAGATATATTTAGTATGAAGAAGATAAATTAAAGACAGGCATGACCATTATCTCAAATGTGAAATGGTGTCATGGAAACAAAAAGAGAAACCCAAGTGACTGTGACCAACAATAGAATATTGCTTACTAATTGCAATGAATTCTAAATGTGATGTGTTACCTTACTTACAGAGCTCTCTCTTCTGCACTCCCCTTTAGGGGATGAAGTAAGAACACCATGACAAAGTGTGGAAAAAAACATTTTAATATATTTAATCTTATTATATATTTCTTTCTAAATTACAAAGTCAACAAATGGCAAGTATAGTTTTGCTACAAAGCTTTCTGTAGGAAATCTCTTCTATAAGAAAATACATCTCATTACATTTCCTGTAAATAAATTACTCCAAATACTAGATATGGGGGGAAAATAAAGTCAGGGAGGGCATGCAGATAACATTTCAACAATTCAGGGATGTACTTTGTTACTCCTAGCTGAGCTGAGAGAGCAAGGACTTTTTCCTGTAATCTTGCTAATGCAAAAGGATGTCAGCTACCTGCTTCCATTATTTAACCAAAGGAAGTGATACACTTTGTCCATCTCCATTCTATTTTCATTGTATTGAAGTAAACTGAATAAAGTTTCCTGTATTAAACTACCGAATAATTTGAACTTCCTAAACTTTAAATAAGCTTCTATACAAGTGTCTTATTACTGAGAAAAAAATTAAATATTCAATCTGGTGCTTCAGAGCTAATAATCTGTTGGTAGCAGGAACAATTGACGTAAAAAACAGTTTTCTAATTTCTTCCTCAAGCTGCTTTTCTTGAATGAAGTTCCAGGGAGAAGTTTGCCACAGGAAATGCATATCTGAAACATAAATGGATGGGGCAATGTCTTGGGATATTTTAAGCAGAACAATCAAGCCAGAGAAAGCTAAATCTGCATTGTCTTATTACTATCTGTCAAAGCTACTTTTTATTTTAAGCAATACTGTCTAAAATTCATAAAACAAATTTGCACATAATATCAATTTTTCCTCCTAGATCATGTACATTAAAATAAACTACATGAATAGTATGGGAGGGAATTAGAACATATAATATCCTATTAATACTGGACTAAGGAGTCTACCAACTGGACTGTTAGCATAGTTTCATGGTTTATTCTGAATTCCCATCAAAGGATTATGAAGTTCTGTTTCTAAAGCAGAACTAAAACTTAGAGAATTATAAACACCTCTGCCAAAATCCACTTTCTTGCCTTTTTAATGTATAAACAATGAAGGACAGGCTGCAAATTACTTTACCACTACCATATGCGTTTAGATAATTTAGGTACTTTCTGAAGTTGCAGTTTGGCACTGAAATGGAAAATGGTTTGAAAGTATTTTTTAATAGACATGAAAAGCATGTAGCATTTGGCTGATATTTACTCATGGGTTTTGAAATATAAATTAATTACAGATAAACTTTAATTTTTGCAAAACATGGCCATTTTGTGGCTTCAGAAAGTCAGGAAAAAACTTGCTAGCTACAAAACACTTTGTTGCTATTGTTGTTGGTTACCTTTGATTGCTCCATTTTTAACAGACATTACAAATGGCATGTTGCCTCAGCATATTAAACTCACATGAAGGATAAACTCACATGAAAATAAAACAAAATGAACAGAATTAGAACACATACACAAACATACAAACACAATTCTTTCCTCCTTTTAAGCAAAGAGGAACAATCGGTCTCCTAAATGTACCCAGATCATACCATGGGGATATCAGCACTGTGAAAGTACATATAAGGATGCTGAATGGAGCAGAAAAGAGCAGAAATTGGTATCCATTTTACTAGACCATTAATACTGCTGAAGTGAACTCCATTGATATACGTACAGCAATCCGGTAGTGCCAATGCCAACCACATTCCTAAGGTGCATTCAGAACATATTTACCATATTCTTATGACACATGTTAATCTCAGTACTTTCAAAGTTATTACCATTTTTTTTGTCACTGACATATCATGGTTTATGTTGTGATCTAAAACCCTTATGACACATTATTTAGCAGAACAGGTTTAATGATCCTGAATGCCCACTTTAAGAGCAAAAATAAAGAATAATTCATAATGTAAACCTCTACTCCCTAATATTTACAACCAGTACCTTGGTGTATTATTCCATTTTGGATGTAGTAATGAATAGTCTGTTCTCACTGTAAGTCCATGGGGCTATCAATAAACCAGTAAAGCAAGTTAATGGGAGTCATTAGCTACAATAAATGAAGTAGTATCAGTTTGAGTTATGAAGTCTGTTTATATCATTTATGTGAATCTAGATAAGTGTTTTTTTACTGTTGGCAATTTAAGATATCTGGATTTCAAAACTCAGAATTCCCCAGCCAGTATAGCTAAATTGCTAAGCTTGAGAAATATGAATCTAGATTATTACCCTAGCTTAACTGCCTCTATTCACATATCTTAACATAGAATTATTGTATGGATTGTAAAACAATAAAGTCCATAGTTACATATGCAGTAACTTCCTCCTTTATTTCTAACACCTTTAGTTTGCTGGGAACTTTATGAAGTTATTATTCAGTATACAAGTATGTGTTGATAGATAGAAGTATATTTTGGCAAAGTGCTGCTCTGTATTGTAAATATATCCTATTTTATCATCAGAATGGGATAAACCAGCTAACCACTAATATGGAGAAGTCACAAAACTATCAGTAGAGCTTTGTTGCAAATCTTTGGCCCCACTGTCGAATGGCATCACACTAAAAAGAACATCCATCTGCTGTCAGCCGTACTTCCAAGCTGAATTATAACACCTGTGGAGATGGTGCTTTTTCTTGCCACAAAGGATATTTAGGCCAGTCATTTCTTATTTACATTTTTTTCCACCGTAGTCTATGCAATAGACACTTGTCAAGGCCTGCCGGTGACACATTTTCAAATCCCACCTCAGATCTTCTGGCACATGTGAAGTCTTGCTTTTGAAGAATATGTAGCATCTTTCCAGATTTTACATGATAACCCTTTGGCACAGTCACATCGCTGGAAAATCTCCAATCCATGGGAACCTTTCTTCCGCTGTTTGGTGCATACCTCTCCTTGGTGTAGCACCGGCTTGCAAATTTTGGTCCAAAAATGGCGAGCACAACAAAACCCTTCTGTGCAATCAGAGGACCTTAAGCAAGGGTCTCCTTCATGACCTAAAAAAAAATAATCGTTAGTAATGCTAAGAATGGAAACTAAAGCAATTGGGCTATTTTCCAAATATATTCTGATAAATAAAAATTTCTTTAAATGTATCTGCGTGATCTTCCAGAACATTTAAGGAGAACATTTTATTTATGGTTAGAGAAGTTGAATTGAATGGCAACAATCCTTTTCCTTTAACAGAATATATTCTCTTCCCATATAAGACTTTTATAAACCAATCATGCCCTTTTCCAACATACTGTAACATCTGTAAGGTAGGAGCAAAGGACTTTCCAGATGTTGCTAAACCCAAGCACCTAAACTAGAGCTGCCAATGGGAAAGATTTCCTGATAATGAGATCTATTACTACATGGGATTACAGCCTTTTAAAAACTATCTCTATGAATTATGTAGGAAGGTCATCACAGATTTCATTGGCACCTAGACCTCAAATTTATTAAACATGCAGAAAAGTCTTTCATATTTTTTTCTTGTTGGGTTTTATCCAAGTCAGCTATTAGATAAGAAATAGTAAGAAAATGTTGACTAACTTCTTTGGGCTCATTGACGTAACTATTAGCCACTAGTTACATATTAAAAGAAGGATCCAATGATGCCATTCTTAATACATCTCCTATACTTTGTATACCCATCAAATTGTTTCAGGGACTTGGGGATCTCCAGAACACATTTTTATAAGAAGGAATTACCATAGTTTATCCCATACATGATGAACTCCTATATATTCTGTGACAGGAAGAAATGTGAAATCTCTTGCATAGCCCACAAATCTACATTATGCTGAGTAACAAATATTAAATAAGTAAACAAGCAAATAATTTATTCCATAGGTAGCTCAATTATAAACACTTATATAAGAACTATTAAATAAGTATGTTTAACACTATGAAGCTCCTATCTGAAATAATCATCAGTATAGAATTTTGATCACAAAGTGGTGCAGTGGCCTAGAGGTAGAGCTCTTGCTTCACAATCAGGAGGCTGTGAGTTTGATCCTAGGTAAAGGCAGATATTTCTCTCTGTGAGTACACTGAGAATATATCTGCTGAAAAAACCCTCCGCATTGGCAATAGGAAGGGCATCTGGCCAGTAAACACTCAGCTCCATTCCGTTGCCTAGACTCCACCCCGCAATGGTTTATGAGATTCTTAAAAGAGGATGATGATAGAACTTTGATCACACAAAGCTCAAATTACTTATTCCTGAGGAATACTTAATGGTATAAAGTTCCCCAATATTTAAAGATATGGAAGGATGCCTTCAAAGATGATTTTATATATAGTCCTGGGCATAGGACCACCTTAGATGATATAGAAATAGCCATCATCAGCATTTAAAGGGATGCCATTTTTCCAAGGGTCTCCTGTTCCTCACCCCCAAAGAAGCTTATCATTGAAAAAATCAAATATTAATACACGAATTTACTGTTTCTACAAAAAATTAGTTCTTCCCTTCTCAGGAAACCATTACAGACTGTTCATAAATCAAGCTATCCTACCTTTTGCATGTGTCAGCTTAGATTGTCCTTTCCCTAGATTTTGCCAGCCCAAATCCTTGGTGGGATAGTGATTACTTTTTTTATTGCGAGGCACTTCTAGAGCTGGAATATGGGGTGTGAGAATGCTCTCAGTCACTGGTATACAAATACCTAAATCAAGGAATGAAACAAGTTAGAACTGGAAATACCACAGTTGATAACATAACTGGTGTGCCACAAACGATGAATTTATTAATTTTCATAAAGAAAGTGAATACTCAAATGTATGCATGTTTGAGGTCTTCCATGGCTGTCCCATACTACATTGGTTAATTTTATTATCAGCAAACTGCAGTTGTGGTACTGAGGAGGAAAGGCTGGTCTTTAGCAGGATTCCAGCTCCCAACTAATATAGCATTTGGATTTAATGTGTCCATCAGTCATTAAGTTGGGAAAGTACAATTGAAAGTAAGATTTGACAACCTGCAGGCAGTGGAGCTCATGCATGTGTCCAGTCTCATTCTGCAGTCCCTAGGGCACTCCTGCAATGGGTATAATTGCAACGTTGAACCCATTTTTAGTTTGAAAAGCAAAAGGACAACATAAAAGTCCTAACCATATTTCAAGACACTAGTTTATGGCCAGCCAGTGTTGCTTTAGAAAACAATTCTGGCTTAACACAATATATTTAATCAGATTAAATCCAAATTTCAGTATGAAACCATTTCATATGAAATTAAATATGGCTAAATATGATTGACTGACAATAGTTAATATATTAATTATATATACTTTATTATTCTCATCTGATTTTATATGTACTCATGCATGTATGTGTGTATATGTATGTTGTTCTGACCCAGGCTTCCCCCAACAGCACGAAGACGAGACCTCATCCCAATAAACCCCTTTTATTTAATTTACAATGAATTTCCTCTCCAACAAAGTCCCAGTCAACAGTCTTTCAAGATTGTTCCTAATTATAAACCTTTATCAGGTTTGGAGAGTGGCCAGGCTGATATCTTTCAGATACTGCAATAGTTGGCAAGCATGCCAGAATGAACTAATTGTCTCCTGTAAAGCTCCACTTCCCTTTTGCTCCTTTTTTATTATCTAGGAGAAGAGCCATTCACCATCCACCTGTGGCTTTACTCCCAAGTTGGCCCTTGTTCCTCAGCTGTTCCCTTCTTCTGGCAACTCTATGCATGTGCACACTGGGAACAGGCTCCACTGTTCTTCTGCCTCACTGATGTCTGACTCTGAAGGCAGCTGATAACTGTTAGATGTCCTGGCCCCATCTCTGCCTCCGATGCAGAGCACTTGTCAAAGCTTTCCCCAGACTCCAGGACTGGCCCATGTTCCTCCTCAACCTCCTCACTGTCCGAATCTGCTGCTGGCCACTGTTGGGCCACAACATATGTATATGTATGCATATGTGTATATATACCTACAGTATGTATATGTATGTATATACTGTACATACTATAATATATAACTACAATGACATGGGAAAATACCCGAACAAAGCTGAATACTGTACATACTATGTATATACCAACATCAAGACATTTCAAACTATGAAGCCCAATTCACAAATATTTGTGAGAAGGTAATATGCTATTACAAATTGGATCCCATCCCTTTTTCCTTATGTGCTTTCTAGCTAGTCTACAGGTGTGACATGTTCATGTGCAACAGTTCATGATTTTTTTCCATGCCTGAGGCATTTCCCCTCAAAATTTGCAAATATAGAATTCTCATGCCATTTTGTGGAAGAATTGTGATAAAAGATTTGGTGCAATTAAAATAAACTACTTGATGATAGCGATAATGATAACGTTTTAGAGTTTTCCATGGAAATTGAATATTGCTGATTCCAGATCTACAAGTAGAAATAATGATTTTTATATAGGATTCTCTATCAGATATCCAATAATGCTGGTATCCAAATAATATAATAGTTCTGGATAAAACAATTTCCTTATTTTTTTTCTTGTATCACTGATTCCATTTATTGAAAGAGAAATTACTTTAGAAATTATTTCAAAGGAGATTATCAAATGTAGGCCTTACTGTACTGATTTAATTGCAAGATAGCTAAAGAATGTGTGCATGACTGAATGAATGGGACGGAGAATGCTGTCTTTCATTTCACTCCCCATAAATTGGATTTATGGGGCCTATGGATTTACAGTAGGACAGAAGTCCCTTTCATTAAAGTAGTTCAATGGCTCTCAAGTTCTGTAGTAGCATGACCCCTTAAAATGGTAAGGCACATGACCTCTGTGAATACAATGAATAATTTTAATGAATAAGAAAAAGATTTGCCACTTACTTTTAATAATTAAATTTTAAGCTATATATCAACCAAACCAATGAAACAATATTGCAAGATTACTAAAAAAAACCTAGAAATAAAGAAATCCCTAATAAAATTAAAACCATATATTTAATAGAAGGATGATATAACTTGATATAACTCCTGAAATCTGGGTTTCATTTTTGAAAATAATCGCTCTTACTCTTCAAAGTAAAGTGACAGGGGAGAATGAAAAGGTTATTTCATGGCCTTCAATAAACTCATCTTAAACTGCTCTTAAAATATGGAGGTCTGCAAAACAGACTTAATAGAAGCTCTTAAGTTACTTCTTGTACTTTTCTCTCAGTATAGCCATACTGTGATAACAGCATAGCTTCTTTACCTTTCAGTCTAGTGTTTTGGTGGTTACAATACCCTCCCTTTACTCTTCTCTATTCTGTAACATTTCATCCCTTCCTCTTCTCTGTTATTTTTCCCTGTGCAAGAGCAAGTTGTGAAATGGTCAGAACTTTGCCAGGAAGCCTCATTCCTCCAGATAAGGTTTTATTTGTTTATTTATTTTATTTATTTAGTCAAAAGCTTACAATACAATAGAAATAAGAATAAACATAAGTTTAAATGTAAGAAATAGGAACTAATAATTGGGGACAACAGGACAGGGATGGTAGGTACGATTGTGTGCTTATGCAGGCCCCTTACAGATCTCTTAGGAATGGGGTGAGGTCAACAGAGGTTACTTTGAGCGTAAAGGAGTGGGGGTTTGAGCAGGTGACAACAGAATCAGGTAGTGAGTTCTAGACATTGACCACTCTGTTGCTGAAATCGTACTTCCTGCGGTCGAGTTTGGAATGGTTTACATTAAGTTTATATCTGTTGTGTGCTCTTGTATTGTTGTGGTTAAAGCTGAAATATTCATTAACAGGTAAGACATTGTAACATATGATTTTATGTACTATGCTTAAGTCCAATCTTAGCCGGTGTAATTCAAGGTTATCTAAGCCTAGATTAGGTTATTCAATCAATCAATCAATCAATCAATCAATGAATCAATCAATCAGAACAGAGTTCGAAGGGACCTTGGAGGCTCAAGCAGGAGAACTTATGCCATTTAAAACAAGTGACTGACTGTCCACTCTCTTCTTAAAAACCTCCAGTGATGAAGCTCCTCATTCGAAAGGAGAATGTACTATATTAAAAACCAGAAAAAGAAAAAACGGATTCTCTGCTGAGAAACAGTGGAGTAATGAATTAAGAAGGAATGTGTATAACTCATGAGAAAAAACATTTTGTAGTAATTTTGATAATCCATGAATTCAAGAGATCAACTGTTTCTCCATCTTTTTCTCTCATTGATGCCCCCAAAATGAATCCTCTTCTTACTTGGCAAATCTTAAAGAACAAATATGAGAATCAAGTACTAAAATCCAGGGAGGAAGGGGTCAAGCTATTTTCTAAAGCTCCTGTAGACAAGGAACAATGGATGGAAACTGAACAAGGAGAGATTTAACCTGGAAACAAGGAGAAACTTTCTGACAGTGAGAACAATCAACCAATGGAACAGCTTGCCCTCGGAAGTTGTGGGAGAGCCATCAGTTGAGACTTTCAAGAAGAGATTGGACTGTCATTTGTCAGAAATGGTGTAGGGTTTCCCGCTTGGGCGGGGGGTTGGACTAGATGACCTACAAGGTCCCTTCCAACTCTGATTACCTGTATCTGTATCTGTAAATATTTTACACTGCTCATGTTTTTTTTTAAATTAAGAGTCATGCACATACCGTTGTTACAGCGGTTTCCAGGACAGCACATGCCATCTCTGTGGCAACGTTTCTTCTTCCTTCTACAAACCATGCAGGTAGATGTAGCTTGATGGGGACTATGGCAATACTTCCCAACTTCACATTCTTTATCATTAGTGCAAGGATAAGCCTGTGGGTAGTGATAAATAAAAGTGTCATAATGAGTCAATAACACTGTAAAAGTCAAAACAAATGATAATGAAAGCATATTTTTAGATACCAACTTAAAAGTTTTTCATACTTTCAGTATTCAGTGATACTAAAATACCCAGATTTATGGTTTTCCAAACATTATTTGTTGTAACTGATAGCATATAAATTATATTGTCTTGTGTATTAAGGACTATCACAGAGGTAAGATCAAAAAATACGTTTAGATGGATCATTTTCTATATGATATTAATAATATGTATCATGTGAATCTTTTCTTTTAAGGTTTAGATGAGCAGATTATTGAAATTTACAGGAATAATATTGAGATATTGGTCATAGTTTCTTCAACTAAAGCAATCAAACAAACAAAACAAAAGCCAAATTTTCCAAGAGAAAAATAAGAGAGATTCACATGATACTATATTCATGAATGGTCCTTTGGTTAAAAATGAATCACCATCAGTTAAGCTACAGGATTTACCTTCTTTGGTATCTGAAGAGAAAAATGCATATCAATACGCCCCCATAAACCTTTCCTTCTCTAAGAAACCATGATTTGGCACAAAAAACCCCTCTACAGTTAAAACAGTCAATGAAATTTATTGCATCTCCTTGATCTTTAATCAAAATTTGGCATGAGAGCCATTTTGCTTTCAGAATTCCACTAGGGCACTTCTCAATGTAAGACATCAAAAAAACTACTAGGGAGCATAAAAGATAGAAATATTGCAGATAAATAGGCATATATGTCTGTAGATTAGTTTATTTTTTTTTAAAAAAAAAATCTGTTATGAGAAAAATCTTACTTTTCAATTCTAATTTTTTAACGTGCCTTATCTAGATGGGGTGGATTTTGTCTGTGTTCCGAAAATCTGTCCATTGATGCTGAATTTAATTGAACCAGCTGCTATTTGGGGTTGTTTTAAACTTCTTTGAATAAATTAATTTCTGAGAGTTTTTTTTGCATAGGTACAGATCATAAGTTGTTTGATAAAGAAGCACCTGTCCTCTACTTCCCCTTTCTTAAGAAAGTTAATGAGAGGATGTCGTACCGGAGTCCAGAATTATATTTTCTGTCATACTTCATTTTCTCAGTATGGTGCCACTCTCATGGTAAATCCACTGCTGTTTTATGAAATGTTAAATCGCCCAAAAGTATCATGTTACCCCCCTAAATCCTTTACAATGAACCATGGGAAAGTACAAGCTCCTTTTTACAATGCCAAGAGCCCATTGATCAACCTGGGTTGATATAAAAAAACCTAGAAAGCAATTTAGCTCATAAAAAAACAAAAACCTGGACATTTCCCCCCATGATTAACTTGATTCTTTATAAGGTATGTTCTTGGGCTTGAAGGGCCTTCTAGAATGATATAGGATTGGACCCAAGAAAGTCTGCGGTGGAAGGTGAATAGAGACGTGATAATTTTGCCTTCTGTAATATTTTTAATTCACAAAAAGAATTTTAAGATTCAAGGATTGTGTTTATGCAAACCTAAGAGCTAGTAAAATCTCATAAATCATAACTCCACGAATGAACCTATAAACACTGAATTAAACAGCTGAAAAAAAACTGAAACAACAGATAATGTCATTTAAAGCAATTCCATTTCTCAAGTCAAACTAGCTTTGAAACTGACAGTGTTGGTAATTTCATACTTTTCATTTCATATCTGCCTGACTGATGTTTTCTTCTTCCTCCCCTGTGTATCTTTGACATACTAAAATCAATATTTCAATTTTCAAGCACATCACTGTTGGCCATGTTACACCACAGAAACGTATGAAGTCTAAGAATACAGATTCTATTACATTATTAGTCTTTTGAATTGGCAATCATCATACAGTATATTTGGTTGGTCACATAGTCAGCCAGATGTTTAGACTAGATTTGGTATTTTTATCCACCGGCTGAGTCATTCCCAAGGACCTTTATAGGCAGGTATTGTTATTTGATAGTGCTAAAGATACCTTCACAACATGTAAGCTATTATAAGTAAAGCTACCTTTTGCAATTGTCCAATGGTGATTTTATTATTATTGACATACTTTTTGGCAGGAAATTTACTATGCATATAGAAAAATGCTGAATATGTGGAAGTTAAAAGTAGGTTGACATGGCAACAGTATCATATAATCAAACAGGAGGCATACTTGTTAGATTTTTCTCCTCCCCCCCTTTTCTAGTTGACAGTACAATTTTGAAAATAATTATAGAAAGACAGAGTTGTAATCATGAAAATATTTTTCTATGCAAGAAGAGTTAGTGAGCCAATTCTGCAACATGTTCTGCTGGTGGGAATACATAAGCTTTTGAGCCCACAAAACTCTTTTTCAGTTATCCACATTTTGTTGTTACTAGCATTTCAAAGTGATAAACTAAACTAGGCAAGCTGTTGTTTGCTTCCCAGATTTCTGGCTTTTTCTTACAACTTCCTCAGATTTATAAAACAGTGAACTCATACTACTATCCCCTCTACTACTGCAAGGTAAAAAGACAGACACAAACTTGTGTAAAACATTCAAACGAGATGCTTTACACAATTAGTGCAAATAAAACTCTTTTTCAAACATGAAAACAGCCACTATTTTTGTTAATTTCATATGACTGACCTGGCTTTTTCAGCATACATATATAAGCATGTATATTTAAGTTTCCACTGGGACTGTCACAAAATAAAATAGCTTGTAGAGACACTTGGAACTTACTGCCATGTCTCCCAGAAAAGTTAAGCATGTGCCTCCTCAGAGCTTAAAATTTTATAACCATGAACAGGATTTAAAAATTATACTGAAGTAAGTAAAGTAGGTACATGAATCCACATTTCATGTTAAGCCTTAATATGGTACCAGTTCCAGTATTAATGTACTACACTCATTATTATATTATTCTGTTTGATTGATTCACCAGTTATCCTAGCTAAGGATGCTGCTATTAATTAAATTAGTGGCTTTTTAAAATACTATGCTCAGACCCTCTCCACGTAATCACATGGTATAATTTTTGCAAATTATTGGGTCCCCATTAACATATATTTCACAAACAAAAATGCATGTTAATAAATGTGTATTAAACAAATAATATGCTAATAAAATATATGTATATTGCTTACAATTATAATATGTAGGAAATAAGGCTATTTTAAGGCACTACTAAATTTGATAAATATTTGTAAAATATCTATGCAGACAATGTAAGAATGCAAAAAAAGGACACTGTTACTTTCCCCATTTAAGATGGCAAGTATTAATATGCAACATATAATGGCATTTTGAAAATGATAGGATCCTATACTATTAGGGTACTTTAAAGTATCTCTATTATTAAGAGCCGCTGTGGTGCAGTGATTAGAATGCAGTACTGCAGGCTACTTCTGCTACCTGCCAGCTGCCTGCAATTTGGCAGTTCAAATCTCACCAGGCTCAAGGTTGACTCAGCCTTCCATCCTTCCAAGGTCGGTAAAATGAGTACCCAGATTGTTGGGAGCAATATGCTGACTCTGTAAACTGCTTAGAGAGGGCTGTAAAGCATTATATAAGTCTAAGTGCTATTTTGTTTGGTAGAAGCTAGAAGGACTATAGTTCATAGAAGAGAGGCAGAGTGGTTTTCATGGTATTTATTTCTCCATGATGAATAAAAGCAAAATGACATATGATTAAACAAATATATGTATTAGTTCAGTTTGTATAATTGATTCCAAATTGCCACATTCATCATTAGAACCTCATAGAAATAATGTAATCTTTATTACAATCTATGAGAAAGAGCTTTGGGAGATTCTGCTATTTATCTTTAGTAGATAATACTTCATCCCAGTTCAAAGTATTTCTTCTGCATACCCTTTTTCAAATCTTTACACTATTGTATTATATACATGTGAACAGTTAATTTATTTTATAATGTAGAAAATAATCACAAAGTGCATTGTAAAATGTAAAGACCACTGGGGACATAATATATTAATTCAGTGAAAATGATCCTGATGATCTCAGTTTTGCCCCTGGTGGATATCTATTCCAGTCATAAGATTTCATTGCTCCTCCTGATGATCTGCAGTTATTTCCTGCTTTTATTATATGGAAATAACATTTTTTGTGAGTCAGTACTGAATGGAAACTATTATGGTTCACTTAACTCTATTAGCAGTGTGTGAAAATTATTTTGACCATGTGTGTTTTCAAAATTTAATTCCAAAGGACAAGCAAAAGAAAAACAAGAGAAATTACTATATTCAACCGGATATCAAAAATTAGCAAACTAAAACTCATATTCTTTGTATTCAGCTCCTGCACAGCTCTTGTAGCTTCAGATAATTTTCAGGTTGTCAAAATCAGATTGAACCTCTTTTTATAATCTGAAGGAATGGCTGTTTTATGATTAGTAGTATTTCCTGTAGCATCTTTTCTTCTAAAATATAGTCATTTTTAAGGCAGGGGTGGAGCCAGTGGCAGGTCAGTCCCCGTTGGCCTTTTTCAACCCTTAAGAGGATTTTGGTTCTTCAATGAGACCTCTTTGTATCCTTTAAGCTAGCAGAACCCATTGGGATCTATCCAAGGTACTGATCAATGCAACCAGATGTAACTTGATCTTTTCACTTAGCCAATGTGTTTGAGAATTACTATTTTCTCAATTATCTCAATTATATTGCCTTCATCTCATCTACAGCCAGTGAGTAAAACCTTTTCCCCCCCTCCAGCTGTAGGGATGTTAAAGCATTATGTCTGACTCTTGTTAGACTCTCCATTTCTTAGATGAGGGAACCAACATCATCCAAAAATATTGCTGTGTTATGTGTGGCCAGCATGATTATGTGCCGAAACACACAGAATTCTGTTACCTTGTTACTGAAGTGGTGCCTATTTATCTATTCACATTTGCATGCTTTTGAACTGCTAGGTGGGCAGGATCTGGAGCAAGTATCATCCCATTGCTCAGTGCTTGGGTCTCGAACCTGGACTGTCAACTTTCCAGCTGAC